CCCCTCCTCCTCGGCCTGGGAGGCCTAAAGCCTGTGGAAAGGCCGGAACGGACGGGGAGGGAGGCCGCCGGGGCAGGCGGGAGGGGCCTCCTCGCGGCACCAGTGGCTGCTGCGGCCTCACTTCCCGCGCACCCTGAGACCCCAGCACGACAGGAACCTCAGAATAGGACGGAGACCTCCTGCAGGTGCCCTGCACTCACGTTCACATGGGCAGTGCCTTCTCCCCGGGCACAGTACGCTGACAGCGCCCGCCAGGGCGGGAGGTGGAGGCCAAGGGCTGGTAGCGGGGCTTGTACAATGCTGTACCCCGGCTTCACTCTGGAAAATGCTCTTTGAATAGGCAAGCTAACCGCCCTGAGACAAAAAGCCGCAGGGACCACTCGGCACCCGGAGGCCCAGCGCAGCACACGGCGGCAGGCCGGGGGCAGGCCGGGGGCAGGCCGGGGGCAGGCCGTCACTCGGAAAGGCCAGCCCCGCCGCTGCACAACGCCAACTTGCAGGGACCGCTTCCGGGCGGGACTCAACGCCGCAGGCCGGCGTGTGTGCCTGAGCGCTGCCGAGGGTCCCGCGGTAGGGGGCCTCTGGCAGTGAGGCCCCAGCGCCCCCAACCCCACATCCCACTGACACGCGCTCGCGCGGACGTGGGACAGGCAGGCCAGCGAGGGCCCAGGAACAGGGAGAACAGGAGGGCTCGAGAAACGGGCGTCCGGTGCCTGGGGCCGGGCGACAGAGGGCGGGCGGGCGGGCGGGGCACCCACTACAGCAGGGGCCGGCTCCTGGAGAAGCACCCGCTCGCCAACGAGGTGCAGGGCCCACGACGGCGAGAGGGAGGAGGCCGAGGCACGGTGCCCGGAGGGCGGGCGCCGGGACCCGCACAGCCCTGAGACGGCCTCGTGCCCGCTGAGCAGTGTCTCCCCTCGTCAGGAAGCCAAGCTCCGCCGGCCACTTCTGAGCCCCTCACTGGGGCCCCGCAGGGGAGGGGCCTTGTCTCTGCCCCTCGGCAGGCAGGCGGGTGGCGCTCGGACAGGGCCTAAGAGCGCTCGCGTTAAAGCACCTGCTGCAACGCCTGCTCCAGTCAGGGCGGGCGGGACCTGACTCCTAGTGGCTCCTGCGGCCCCGGGAGGGCCGCCCTTGCTGCTGGCCCCTCCTTCCTGAGCTCCCTGGCCTTCCGGCTCCCCCGCTCCCGCCAGCCCTGCAGCAGCACATCTCAAGGCGCCGGGTCGGCCAGCACACAAACAGCGCTGCGCCCAGTTGAGTCCCCCAAGCCCAGACACTGTCCACCATGATGAGGGGACATCAGGCAAACCCCAACCGAGGCAGAGTCTGCACAACACTGACCGACCTTCCTCCACACTGCCAACGCTGTAAAGACCAAGGAGAGCCCACGGAGCTGTCCAGCCCGAGAGCAGTGGGACAGTGGGGCGCGGGTATCTGACGGCCAAGTGAACGTGGAGCCTGGCCAACAGCGCCAGCTGACGGGCGGCAGGCGCCCAGCAACGCAGGACACAGGTGTGAGGGCCGCTGCGGCCTTCGCGGCTTCTGCGCAGCTCTAGGAGCACATGGACGGGCTCCCTCTTAAACCCGCACGCGACACAGAGCGACCCGTGTCACCGACACACGCTGCCAGCCGGCGCAGTGCGACACGCGAGTGGACGCCACGCTGCTCCCAGCTTCGGCTCACACGGCTCTCGGCCGGGTTCACGGAGCGGGCCGCCACCCCCACTCCCGCCGTGGCGGGCGGGGGGGACCGGAGCTGTCCACCCCAGAACAGGGTCTGGCTCAGGCCACACCGCCACGCACGTAGCCATGCCCACGCCCGCACACACACGCGTGTGCACAGCGCCCCTGGGCTTCTGACGTGGAACAGCGCCGGGCCGGGCAGCGGGCGGCACAGGCCAAGGGGCAGCCTACGCCTCGCTGCAGAAAGGGCCTGACCGTCACACAGAAACAGACCGGCCCGCCAGCAAGCCGAGATCGCAGCGCCAAACACAGACTATTTTACGGCAAAGAATTCAGCAGAAGCGGCGAGTGAAAAGCGCCTCACGGGGCCGTGGCGTCGACGACCCGATTCTGTGTAACGACCGCTTCCCCTTGAGGCCGGTCACCTGGCCCCCTCTCCACTAGGGAACAGGGGGACAACTCCCAGCAGCCTGACGCCCAAAGCCGGAAGGAAAGTAGAGGCGGGAAAGGCCGGGTCCACTGCGGCCGCTGGCCTCTGTCACCGGACTGGGCCCGCAGCAAACAGTCAACACAGACAGGGCGAGCGCGTCAGGGTGCCACTGGCCAGTGCGCGGGGTGCCCGTCACAGAGAAGGCCCCGGACAGCCCTGGCTGCACCCCAAAATGCAACTTGTGTGACTTTCACCTCAATTTTTTTACAAACAGGTAAAGTAGCAGCGTAGAGGAAGTGGGGAAAGACAAGCGAGCCCCGCAGCTCCCGGGGCCGTGGCCACGCGGCGTGGGGAGCAGGCGCGGCCCATGCCGGCAGGCCGCGGGGCCCTGTGAGAGGGCGGCCTCCGGGCTGTGGCCACCCGCCCCAGGGTCACCGTGGGAAGCAAAGCCCGAGGCCCGGCACCTGGCGGCGAGTCCCTCTCAGACGGGCCTCACCCGCCGCAGCCCCAACCC